TGTTGTCTCTGACTTGCCTCGCCAACTCTAATTCCATCCGGGCTTTGGCCTTCCTCGTTTCGCATCTGCAATCTCTGACAATGTGCCTGTATTCCTGTATTTACCCATAAGTGACCAGTGAGAGACCTTAGTTATTCTGTATTTTCTTTAAATATTTGTTTCAGCCAACACTTAGAGCTATTTCTTCTTGCATTTGGCCGTGATATGTTTTTTCCTCAAATTCTGGCATGGATTTTCATGGCTTATTTTTTCCCATTATAGGGCTGAGTGACAGTGAAATTTTACACAACTGCTTTTTGTTCCAGAAAATTGTCTAATAAATGTTGTATTTGTCTCTTGTTTAGTCCTGCCTACTTAAAATTGAAACACCATGTACAGAAATAATTTATGTGCAGAAATAGTGCAGCATGGTTTAGATACTTTGAAGTAGAATTAAAATATGCAAGACATCCTTTGGAATGTAATTGTGATGTTAGAAAGGATGCTTGCCATGTATTATAAGGATATTTTTTGATCAGCTGTCAACTACTGATTTATATAAAAGAACATCATTTAAAAGAAGCACAGCAATTTATTTTCTCTTGTTGATGTATTTTATATCAGTTAGGCTTAAGATCAGATTTTCAGTCATGTCTTGCATTTTACTTTGACTCCTAATATTTAAATATTAGATCTATAAATATTGTTAATAAAAATGACAAGCTTTGTAGTGTAATGTAGTATGATTTTCAATCAAATGGCACTGTCAGTTTTCATTTAAAATTGACTTTTTCAGAACTTATTTCTAAATGAACTTAATCAGATTAATTTCATTTAGTCACATCTGTTCATGATTGTTTTGCCCTTTTACTAGCCATACAAATCATGAAATTAAGCTAATTATATACCATTATCAGCTGCAAAGAACTAGTTTCACAGTTTTATACCTTTTAATTCCCTACAGAAGATTAAGGCTTGTTTTTTTGTTAATATGGAGAGTGCAGTTACTTAAATGGATTTCCCTGCAGTTATCACCAAAGGATTAACTAGTTTATTATTGTTTTTCGCTATTCTAAATTGGTTATAGAACATTACATTTTGTGTGTTTTCATTGATGACAATGCTTGTAATGGTTCTGAGAAACATTTTTCCAAATAGAAATGCTCTGTTCAATGCTCTACGTAGTTTTACATCTATAAAACAAAAGAAATTGTCTTATCAGATTGTTTATTGAAAATAACATCCGATTTTTTTTTTCCTTTGTATTCTCTCTGTTCCTCCTTCTTTTGGGGTGCTTTGCGGGGATGCTGTCCTTATACAGGTGATGATGAGCAAAGTGACTGGTTTCATGAAAATGAATCTGGTGGAGCATGTGGAATTACAGGGGTCATTCCCTGGTGGGAACAGGAGGATTCTACAGAACTGGAAAGAGAATTGCCTGATCCAGTCTTTGAAAGTATCTTAACTGGTACTTTCCCTCTTATGTCCCATTCTGGGAGAAGAGGTAGGTAACAACCAAATATAGCTGTACAATCACTTGGACTTGGTAGAAAACTGTCTGTGGATTGTATAGCATATGTAAAATGATGACAAGATCTGGGACATAATCATTTTCTTACCCCTAAGCTACTTTATTTTTAAGACATCATTAGATGACAATTAGAATACTGTCAATGGATAGAAAAAACAGAAAGTATAAAAGTTGCTCACTTTGATAGCCTACTTTTATTTGTTGTCGTAGAGTTCGCACTGAGAATTATTGTGTTATTTAAAGGGAGTCTTCATATTACATTTTGTTTTGCTAGCTTCTATGGTAATTTTAGGATGTAGTGATGCAGTATTAGGAATATATTTGAGAGCGTTGAGCTTCTTGGGATTTTTTTTTTTTTTTTTTTAATTTTGTTTTGTTTTTCTTTGTGTCTCTGTCAAATATTTCTGGCAACTACATATTCAGTGTATCCAATGGTAAGTTGTTCCAGCTCTTGATTGCCTTCACAGCTAGGAACCTACTTTCATATTAAGGCTGAAGTTGCGAGACCTGAGCTTGCTGCCAAAGCCTTCCAGCTGCCACAAGGACCTCCTTTCACATCTAGAAAGAGTTCTCTTTTTAATGTGGGCATTGGTCGAATCACTGCCCACTGAATGCATTGAATTCTCTTATGAGGCTTATTTTCCATAGACTTGGGATTGTTTCAGTGAATCTAGTCTCTGCTTATTCACCAGATTTCCAGATTTCTAGTGCTAATACTAAAGAAGTTTTAAGCGATCCAAAATCATTCCTCTGTATCAAAATGGTAAGCTCGGCTTATGCAACAAACTGCCTAAAAGTAGAACTGCAGCAAGCAAGTGTACAGAAAGTATTTTTTTCTCATGACAACGTAATCTTTCCCACAACTTTCCCATGCTGTGTTCTTTGTTTCTATAGGTGCTAAATTTGCCTATGTACACATGCACACACATATATGTATTTATATATATTTTAAATTGAAGTCAATGGCATAGATCAATAAAATGCTATGTAGTGGTATAGGAAATAGTCTTGAATTAATTTCCCCTTTTTGTTTTAGGTTTCCAGAGCCGATTTAGTCATCTTCATGGAATGCCAGCAAGAAACATCAAAAAGCCTTCAGGAAATCAGACTACATTGGTAGGTGCTTCTATTATTGTGAGGTAACATGAGCTGCTCTTACAACTCGAAGCAACTGTTTATTCCTCTTATGCTTCTATCCTAATGTTTTGGATAAATAATTGAATGGAAAGACTATAGGGGAGTGGTAAAACTGCCGTGCCAATCCTGATTATTTTGTTTGTTTGCTTTTCTATGCTCTTTCTAAGACCCTGCTGTTCTTTTTAATTGAATATTTATATATGCTCACTCAAATCACAGGAACAGTCTAAGAGCTTGCTCTTAGCTATGATAGAAAGGGTTTTTTTTGTTCTTTTATTTAAGAAGATTTTCCATATTTACCTAACATAAAAGCATGTTGTGTCCTCTGTTTGGAAACAAGCTATCAGACCCAAGTTATTCAATTTTATGTAATACCAAAACATTCTACAATGGTTATATAGTACAATATTGTACTAATCTCTTATCCCCTCTCCAAAGTCCATTCTGAAAATCTATTCTCCTTCTCCTTTGTTTAGCTGATTTCTATTGTGAGAGGAAAAGGGCATATACAAAAAAAATGGAAGTAAGGCTTGCCATGTACCGGCCATACACATAGCACATACCTTCACACGAGTCTATTCAGAGCCTGACCACAAATGACAGTTGTTTTTCAGTGTTATTTAACTTTAGCAGCAGTGATGTTTATATTAAAAGAAAAAATGCAGCTATATTTGCTTCTGTACATGATCCATTTGGGATGTTTCCACAGCTTATTTTCTAAAATAGAATTCTAATGAATATTCAAGAGTTTATTGTAGGCAGTATGGGGAAGAGTATGAACTTTTTAAGATAAAATGTACTCACTGAAGTGAGTATTCCTTTCTTATATGAATACTGTTTGGAAGAAGAGGAAAAAGTAGGACACTCACTAGTAGTATGCAATAAATATATTCCAGCATGAAAAATACTGCAAGATTGGTGTTCTTTATTGTTTAGGACATTGTTAATTTGCCTAAACAAAATAAGGTACTGGTGAGAAAAGAGATATATTGCATGTGCAGACAGTAGAAAAGAACTGCTAGAAATTTAACTCATTTGAAGAGGAAAGATTTTTAATAGCTGAAGTCTGTGTCCAATAATTGCCATGTGGAGTTGAATAAGGTGCTTTAAATCCTTGGCCTATGATCTCTGCTGTTAGTGGTCGTGAATTAGATGAATGCTATCTAGTTCTTGGTTTCCTATCTACCTATTTTTATTTTTGGTTCAGTGCTTGCTTGAGCATATCTGGGATTTGTAGCCCATTTTCTAGGCTTATTGCAATTTCACTCTGGTATTTTATAGGAGCTATTATAACTGATAGGTTAGCTTCATGGCATTGATGATACATGGTTTAGCTACCCTAAAAACTGCCTTTTCCTCTAAATTGTAAAAAGGTGATCAAGTTTCAACTGATGAAGATATACTGTGAGTGTGTATGTATAATAATAATAATAATAATAATGTTTATCTTCTGCTACATTGTCTGAATTGTCCTTAGAAGCCCATTTTACCTTCCAGTGATCATATCTCATATATGGTATCGTGGTTCCTTTTATGAAAAAAGTGCAGGTTGATCTAGTAAAGAACGATAATTCAGTTACCTCCAGGTATTTAATACATCATTTACATAGTGTCATGAAGCAAGGTTGACATGTGAACACACCTCCTAGGCTGCTGTGTTTAGGCAAGAATGCACATACGGGATGAGTGCAAAGCCCTTCGAATGCAGAGTCCTCTGATCTTCTAACCTTCCTAATGACTGTTTATGTTTGTAGGCACATCTGCTGCATCTGCCTGAAAATTTAGCTATATAAGTTGAAATACATGTCCTTGCATTATAATCAAGTTATCACATTTTAAAGGAATTTTTTTAGATACTTCAATGACAAAGAAAGTCTTCTAATACCTGTGACATCTGATAACACAGAACAAGAAGTAATTACTCCTATTAGATGGTAACAGTGAAGAGCAGCAAAAATGCTTTTAGAAAGATTAATATCCTGAGAAATGAACACTGCAGACTCAACTCATTGAGCAGAGTAGCGATGGTGACCTCCTTTCCTTTTTAACAGCAAGGAGTCTGATGTCTATATCACTGCTTTTACACAGACTTTTAAGGGGCACAGGGCAAAAAATGGAGTTTTCTTCTAAGATGCATTTCCTAAGCATTATATAGAGATGTATTCACACTAAGGATGTGTATTCAGACAATGTGATGCTATAGCTGTCTCCTTACAGATAGAAAGTACTTAATGCCCAAATGTTTGGGTTTTTTGCTGTTAAAGAACCAAGAGGCTAAGTGTATCATATATGGTATATCAAGGCAATTGCTAATTTAGGGCACCAAGTCAAAAAGCAAAACAAGGCTSTCTGTGGACCAGTTTGTGAATTTTAATCTGAAGTAGCCACACCTGGTGCTTAGGTTCTGTCCAGACAATGCTCTTGCATTTCACTAGGCTAGTAGCTTGGGTTGGATGAACTCTTTCAATAATTAGTGTTTTGTTTTTGAGTCAGAATAAATTTTTTAATATATCCTTGTGCATGTTGAATGAGGCCTTATACTAACAATATATTTTTAAAAAATAAAAAATAACTCATTTCTGGCTAATGTGAAAGTAGAGATTTAATCTCTTTTTCCTGGACTTTCACTTTAAACACAATGTTAAAAATGGCATCCCACTTGACTAAGGTAATTGCCCTCTAGCATTAGTCTCAGAAATGCCAAATGTGCTGTTTGTATTATTTTTTATTATCTTTTTAATGTATCTTGCGGTTGAATCATAGTGACAAGTGCTATGAACTGGTAGTCTTGAATTTCACCTTCAACCAAGTGATAGTCATGCAAAACTACACTTAAGTTGACTCTTAAACCAGGGCAAGTAGGATAGGGACATCCCTCTCATTCTTCCTCATAATGACTTCTCTCTTATTGTATATATTGAACAGGTTAATGTGGTTCACTGTATGTGCTCTCTAAAAGTAATGATGGCTTCTTAAAATCTTTGGCTTCAACTTATGCATCATTGTAATTATTCCTCTTGTTATCTGCCAATTGTGACGGAGAAATCATTTTCTGGTGTTTGGCCTCATGATGGTCTTTTCTAGACATTTGGGACTTGCTTGCTTTGATGTCTAAAGTCCTTATTGGTTCTGTGATGTTTTATGTTTTAATGTAAGTTTAATAGAAGGAATTTCTATTTAAGCATAATCTTTTTTATTTAAAAAAAAAATTCTATCCTCTAAAATAATCACCCATTCTCCCAGAAAAATGCCATTTAATAATAGCTTGAAGCAACATCGAGAAGAATAAATACTAATTTAATAATCTCATATGCAGTATCAAGTTCGGGGTCATAATTTCCTTGTGCTTAAAATTTGATTGATTTGATAGAAGAAAACATTAGGGGGATGGGATTGGGGAGTTGATCACATAATTGGAAATAAACAGTAAATCTCATACGTAATAGAYAGAACATCAGATAGGTGCCTCAGCTGCTGACATAATTTCTTGCTCGCCATTTGCTAAACCGTAACAACTCATTCAGGAGTGGTTTTCACACTCATTGACAAGAGTAGCTTTACCATTCTTTAGAAAACATCTTTTTGCTCAAAAGAGAGAAGTGGAGGAGGGTGAGCGCTATCAATACACATAGAGCATCTTGGATATCAGTAAGCAGGTACTTCGGCTGCACTCCCTATGGTTGTTGTTCCCTAGGAAACGACTTCCATAATGGCACTTCAGGTGTCTAATAGAGGTGTATCATCAGTTAGCTTTCCAATAGCTAACACAGTCTAGATTAAGCCTACTGTCATGTGAATTTTACTGTGGGGCATCTGCAAGATGCAACTCTAAAATCAATGTATCTTCTCTCCTTTTTTTCTAGCTCCCCTACAACTTGATTTTTAAATGCTATAGATGAAAAAGAATTATTTGACTTTTTTCTTGTTTTAGCAGGGGGTCTGTCAGATCATTACTATAAAGTAAAGATTGAGACTTAATGTTATATAGCTTTGCTTAGTTTATGATGAAAATGAAAATATAAACTACAATTTGTGTGTTTTTTAATATATTTGACCATATGTGTTTTATACCCTTTGGAGGAGGTAGCTCTAAGAATAGTGAATTAAATTGGACGGTAAAAAGGAAGACCTGTGTAATCCATGCATGTGATCAAGTGATCACATGAGCCCTCACAGGCCAACACTCTTAAGACGTGCAAAATCTCTTTCATTCTGCCCTTTGCAATTTAATTCAGCTGAATTACAGGCTTGCATCTGATCTCTCATGTGTGCGCTTTTTGTCACTGCTTTTTAGGGTTTTTTTTGTATATGATTTGTTCTTCCTCCTTTCTATATTAACTGTAGATAGCCCCTCATTTGACAGGTGACTTTTAGAAACTTAGATGCATGCATATGTGAAGTTTTCTTAATCTGTTGTTTCTCCACATTGACTTAGCRTCTTTGCAGATTGAACTTTTAAGGGTCAAGAAATTTATACTGAGTTTTTGGAATTTGAGATTGGCTATTGTGCAGTCAATTTTCTTTCTATCAGTTAATGGGCAAACTTCTAGGACTTTCTTGATATGGATATGGAAAAGTATATACTTTTAAATACTTGTGAAATTAATTTTAAAGAGCATTGGATAAAAATGTGTCCTATTCTCCTCCCTCTCTTATTTTTCCCTGACAACCCCACCTATACTGGTTTGGTTAGTTCTAAAAGAAGTTGTATACAAATACTTAAATAGATATTTTATTAGGCTGACAGTACAGATTAAAGCTATATGCTTACTTTTTCTCTGTAAAATATTACCAAACTGGAGGGGGGGGAAAAAAAAAAAAGAAAAAAAAATGCTTGTGATAAGCTTTCTAAAAGAAAACATATGTACAGTGGTTTAGACTTCCTTGCCATCCTGATTTGTTTTAAATCTCAATCTAATCAGTGGTGTAGAAGAGCAAAAAGAAAGACAATTTGCAGTGTCTAGAATTAAGAACATTAC